AAAAAAAAACAACCGATTCACCGGCCACAAGAACCAAATCCTAAAAAGACGTGTGCTGTGGGGACCAGGCAGGGATCTGGCTTCTTTGCTCTACAGTTTGCTGCGATGTGGAGCTGAGCTTAAGACAGGTGAATGCCCAACACCGAAGTTTCTCGTATCTTTATAGTTATTTATGGCTCTTAAGGATTTTCACCATCCATTTGCAAAACGCCAACACTAAGCAGGGACAAATTATCACTGGCCTTGCATGGACGGAGTCCAGGAGAGATTAAATTACTCGCATGGCCTGCACAGTGACCAAGTGGCAGTGGAGGTGGGAAAGCCCTGGGTTTTGAGGGTGACTGGAGTCTGGACCTTGTCTTCATTGCCGATAGTCACGTAGCATTCGGCGAGCTCTACGTTCTCTGTGCTTTAGTTCCCTAATTTGGCAAACAGCAATAAAATCATCTACTTCCCAGGGTCGCTGCGAAAATTCAATGAAATAAAACATGAAATGGGCCTGGCATGAATCCTCTCCCTCCCCTCTGCTCTACTTAACTCAGCTCCCACACAAGGGGCTTTATTAGTGAAGGGCCCACAGAGTTTCATACGATGAGGCTTCTCCTCTCTTGAAGGCTGTCTCACAGTGGGACTGAGAAGCATGTTTATTGCAAACGCCCCTGCACCATATCCATTTTGTGCTCATTAGTGCTTTTTGCCAACTTCCTAGGTACCCGTGGCCTTGCTCGCGCATCGCTGCTGGACGGGAGTAGGTGCTAATCATGGCTTTGCGGGGCACTCAGTGCCTGAACATAGTAGGCACTCAATAAATACTTCCTAAACAAATGGTGAACACACAGAGGGCAGAGATTGTGCTCAGATCATGACTGGACCCCCTGCCCTGGCCAGCACAGTCCATGCACAGGATGATTATTTGCTAGACAGACTTTTTTTTTTCTTTTTGAGAGAGAGAGAGAAAGAAAGAGAGAGAGAGTATGCACAAGAAGGTAAGAGGGACAGAGAGAAAGAGAGAGAGAATCCTCAGCAGGCTCTACGCTCAGGGCAGAGTCCAATGTGGGACTCAATCCCATGATTCTGGAATCATGACCTGATGATCATGGCCAACTGAGCCACCCAAGTGCCCCTAAACAGATTCTTTAAGTGGCAATGCACACTCACCTCAAAGGGTGATATCAATGCCTTCATGGGAGACTTTAAAACTAAAATTCTAAGAGAAAAATTCTCCAGCACCCAGACTTGCCAGTCTCCAGTCAGTGGTGTTACCTATAAAAGCCCATTTTCAGGGCACATGGGTGGCTCAGTTGGTTAAGCGTCCGAATCTTGATTTCGGTTCAGGTCATGATCCAACCATCATCAGATCGAGCCCTGCGTTAGGCTCAGCATGGAGCACAGAGCCTGCTTGGGATTCTCTCTCTCTCCCTCTCTCTCTGCCCTCTCCCACGGGTTCTCTCTCTGTCTCAAAACAAATAAATAAACTTAAAAAAGCCCACTGTCAGCACTTTTGTTTGCCTCAGATCTGT